AACTCAAAAGTGAAAGTAAAATGCGCACGGCGCTTTTAAGCTATTTAAAAGCAAAGGAAAGCGAGGGAAAGAGGGAATGCCCCGCCCCCGCGGTGATACCGTATTACCGGTGTTGTCACACGTCGATTAACTGGTGGGACAATTTCCTCACCGTCACAACCCTAACATCTACCCACAACATATATGCATATATATATATTTTTTTAATTATATATATATATATATATATATATATATAACACAATAAAACATGCACACACACAAAGGTAAAGTCTAAAAGTATTAGAAAATATATTAGTGCTGTCAAATGATTAATCGCGATTAATCGCATCCAAAATATTTTTTTGTTTGTTTACATAATATGTGTACTGTGTATATTTATTATGTATATTTAAATACAAACACATGCATGTATATATTTAAGAAAAATATGTTGTTTATATATTAAATATATTTATGTATAATATAAAACATAAGAATATAAATATATAAATGTATATACATGTACATATTTAAAATATATATACTGTATGTGTGTGTATTTGTATATGCATAATAAATAAACACAGTACACATACATATATTATGTAAACAAAAACTTTTATTTTGGATGCAATTAATCGCGATTAATCGTTTGACAGCACTAATATATTATATGAGAACATGATTTCAAGCTACAGTCCAGGAAATATCATAAAACGTATTACTACTTGTTTCTCACTAGTGCGAGTTTTACAACCGCAAAACACAACATAATCATTAAAACATTCATAAAAAACAGCTGAATCCAACATCTGTGATGTGAAATATTAAACATCTGCTGTCATAATGAAGCTTCACCAAAACACACGTGATCCACGAAGGTTTTAAAAGTCACTGTCGATATTCTAATATTTAATATTAATGTGCGATTATGAGATGAGAATGAATGTTATTGATCACAACACTTGTGAACTTAGCGTACTGCTAACTCACCTTCAACATACTCGCTTTTAAACCGAGTCGTACTTCTTCGATCTTGCTCTCGATGTCCTTTCGGAGAGCGCAAAATAGTAATTATAAATCTGTTTCAGATGAGAGTATAACATGCAATGCTTCTTATGTTTAGCTGTCTGATTACCTGCTCTGATTCCGCCTGTCCTGCCTCCGCCATGATAGTGGCCAGTGGCCTGGTCTTCAGTGGAATCGATCGCAGACTCTGTGAAACTGGGCACACGGTGACGCCACGTTGGCTCTGACATGTCAAAGAAACCTTTGAACGGTCTCTCTCTCGCAGCAAGATAAAGTTCCTCTGATATGCTCCTGCAATTTAGAGCAAATAATCGCATCATGCGCGGAGCCTAAAAGCCTCTGACAACATCACTTATTTGTGAAACACTGGACTGTCCCTTTAACAAATTAAATGAAAATCAGAAAAGTAACTGATATATGATGAAAGTATAACTGAAAGTTTTATATTTTATGTTAGTAATTTTGTTGTGCATTTTTTTTTTGGCTTTATTAGTTTTTGTTGTTTTAGAAACATCTAGTTTTTATTTTTTTATTTTTGTTTCAGTTTTTTATTATTTTCAGTTTTAGTCATTTTTAAATTAAACTAAATTAAAATTATATAAGTAACTAATATTTGATAAAAGTGTAACGTTTTTAGTTCACGTCTATTTCATTGCAATTAATGTAAATGATTAATAGTTTGGTTTAGTTAACGAAAATATCACATTACTTCAGAAACACACAAGCTATTTTATACAAAAACATCTTTCAGCTGATCATCAACATAAACGCTTGGATGCAAAAAGCCTTCCTGCCTTCCACCAAAATGTCATGTTGCTTGCTGTTCCTTTGTAATTACTTGTGAAACGCAATATATAATGATTTGATCTGTCTCTCTACTTCAGAATGTTACATTTAATTCGATGTGTTACTTGCTGTTTCTTGGTCATTTTTGAAATAAACTAGCGATTTATGAGTGAAGTTAAATCCTTCACCAAATTGTATTTGTTTATTATCATTTATTATCATTGTATTTCATTTAAACCACCATATTTAAATCATTTTATATCCATTTATATATCTACAGATAGATACAGTAAAAATTATTTTTTTGAAGTTGTATATAATTTTTTTTTAAATCCAACGTCAAATTATATACATATATTTTGCATGTCAATCAGAAAATCAACATTTTTACTGAAAAATACTTAGTAATTTTTAGATGACTAATTGAAGAGTATAAAATCAATATTTTACTGTTTGTATGACATTTCCAAGATTTTTTTTAAACAATTAATAATTTATATATTTTTATCTGTTAATATTTTTTTTAAATCAACATTTTTCTATTTGTATGACATTTCCAAGATTTTTGTATCAATAATTTATATATAGTTTTTTGTGTTAAAAACATTAAAATCAATATTTGACTATTATGACATTTCCCAAAAAAATTTAATCAATTGATAATTTATATGTATATATTTATTTCTGTTAAAAATCTATATTTTTCTATTTGTATGATATTTCTGAGATTTTTTTTATCAATTTATATATTATTTTTTTGTGTGTTAAAAATCATTCAAATCAATATTTTACTACTTGTATGATATTTCCAAGATTTTTAAAAATCAATCGATAATTTATATTATTTTTTGTTAAAAATCTTTAAAATCAATATTTTACTATTTGTATGACATTTCCAAAAAAATTGTTTTTAATCAATTGATTTTTTTTTCTGTTAAAATCAATATTTTTCTATTTGTATGACATTCCTGAAGATTTTTTTTTAATCAATTGATGACTTATATATTATTTCTGTGTTCTAATATCACTTTACATTCAAATTCTAAATAACAAAAGCATAAAGGAAGTGATGACGTTTTGGAGGGAAATCAGCTGCACGTCTGTGAGTGTTGTGATGCTCTTGTGTTTGTCCGCAGGTCTGACTCTCAGTGTGGATGTTAAAAACACTTCAGCTTCTCAGCAGCAGATCAGAAGCTTTGCTGAGGCGTCTTCGGAGAATTAAGCCTTAGATTGAAATAGGAGAAGAATATGGCTGATCTGATCGCTCGTATTACACACACACAAAACTCAGATTTTCTCTTTGAGTGGCAGAAACTGCCAGTAGTTTACAAATATTGAGACACATTTGGTTTTCTAGTATCGTACACATCTAAATAAATGATGAACAAGAAAACCGCACATTTCTTTTGACTAAGATGCATGATTTCGGTTTGATTGCATCACACATGTCATCATTTTCTGTATTTATTGTTGGTATTTCTGTCAAATAATCAGAACGTTTCATAACACGCCTCATGCGTTTCATTGCCGCCGCTCGAGAGCTGAAAACACAGAGCCGTGTTTCAGACGGACCGCAGCGATCAGAAGCACCATCCAGTTCAAGTGTCCTCGCCGCTGCCTCTGTTACCATGGAAACCAGCTTCAGCATCAGCATCAGCACCAACCGTCTGGAGCTTCATCACGGTCTGTCTGAGATCAGCCGTAACGGTGAGTGTGATGTCTTGTTTCTATTATTGTGATGTTTTTGTCAGCTGTTTGGACTCTCATTCTGACGGCACCCATTCACTGCAGAGGAAGTGATGTCTTGCCAAGTGGTTTTACGTGTACATCATCTTCATTACCTAATCATGATCATTTGATCCCCAATAATTGGCTCAGTAGACCTGAAATATGAAAATGTTCAGCATATGCAACGTTTAATAGTTTGATACTCCGATACAACTGCTTAAGAGTCACAGCCGTGAGAAACACAGACGAATCTACATCATACCGTACCGTAATGAGAGACAACGTGATCCAAAGCAAAAGACACTTTTCATCTGTGATCTTCACTATTATGTGTTCACTATTATTACGTTTTCAATAATTCCTACAAGTCATGGGTAAAGCCGAAAAAGCTCCATATCGGTAAATATAATATAATACAATGTTTATATATATATAT